AGCTTTTCCTGCTTAGAAAGTCGTCTTATACGAAGGAAAATATGGGTAGCTGTGCTAGCCTGGAAAATCAGTATGCAAAGAGATCTTGTAGCACCTTTGAGACTAACTGGAAGAAAAAAGTTGACATCATGAGCTTTCGTTTTAAAAACATACATCTGAAGAAGTAGGCTGAAGTCTAGGAAAGCTTATGTTACCAACTCCTTTCTTTCAGTTAGTCTCAAAGGTGCTACAAGATCCCTTTGCATTCATGTCAGAAAGTGCCCATATCCTCATGACTATTTTAAAATCAAAACCTTTCCTGTATCCATTGGAGGAGCCAACTGAGTATAGAACCAAGGGTTACTTGCAGAAACTAGTTATGGGCAGATGGATGGGAATGACAAGGGGGAAAAAGACAACACTCAGTGTACTAAATTCACTGCCTAGGGCTGGCATTGCCCCTCCTGTGTCTATTTAGTATTCTCTTATACATCTTCTGTACTGTGGTTGGCTATGTTCTAGGAAAGGGAGATGACAGGTGCATACCCTCCAACATTTCAGAAACGGAAACTGGGACACATGTGGCACAGCAGTGTCAGAGTGTGGTCAACATGGTAAAAAGTACAAGCCAGGAGAGGCTGCAGTAGTTTGCATTTGCCTTAGCCTACTGGGGAGAACAAGATTTCACTCCACCTCTCTGCCTGCTGAGTTGAATACAAGCTACTTTTGCACTTTACAGCAAGTGAAGTAAGGGAGGATGAAAGAGGAAGACTGGAGGATGAGAGAGAAACCAGGACATTTTAAAAACAAACGAAAAAGTGGGATGAGAGAGGATTAATCACAACTGTCTCTGCCAGATCAGGATGGTCAAGAAATAGTTTTTTGTGGGTTTTTTGGGCTGTGTGGCCATGTTCTAGAAGAGTTTCTTTCTGACGTTTCACCAGCATCTGTGGCTGGCATCTTTCTCATTTCTCTGAAGATGCCGGCCACAGATGTTGGCGAAACATCAGAAAGAAACTCTTCTAGAACATGGCCACACAGCCCGAAAAACCCACAAAAAACTATGGATGTCTGCCATGAAAGCCTACAACTTCACATGGTCAAGAAAGTTTGCATGGAGCACCGCTTTGGTTCCCAAGAAGGAATCCAGATCTTCCCATCGGAATCCTCTTTAGTACTTTGGGATTTCTCCTTCACAATGGCTCTGGTGTGTTCCTTTTCTGAATATCCTGTATGGCAAGCCAGGCAGTTATCATTTAATTATTTCAATTTCCTTAGGGTCCTCCACCCTTTTCACCTAGATCTGCATCACAACGAGTTGCTGCCCAGCTCTTTTCCATGGCTAAACTGAGATTCAAACCCTAATCTCCAGTCATAGTCCAACCTCAAACTACTGCATCATGACTTCATGTAAATACAAAAACAAAGGAGGGAAGAAAGTACATGGGCAGCCTCCCATCTCTTTGTTTGATATCAAGAAGTGGGAGCAGTTATCCTGAAACCAGAGCTTGGGAGAAGTTAACTTTAACAACAACAACAACAACAATTTATATCCTGCCCTTCTGCAGAGCAATCCGGGCGGCTCACAGCATTAAAATCACCATACAAATAAATACAATACAATATAAGCACAGCCCAACAATCGCATATTGAACTATGAGGGATTCTGGAAATTGTAGTACAATAAAATTAACTTTTTCCAAGCTCTGCCAGCAACTGCTGGGTGACCAGTTCCAGGGTCAATTGGTTATTCATCCCCACTAGGAGAATCCTTGACTGTTCTCTAGAGGAGGGCTTGAACATACAAGTGCATATATACTATATGTGGCATAACCTGTGTACAGTATGCTGACATTCTCCTAGTAACAATTCCTATGCTACGGGTGCAGGATATAACCTGAGGGAGGAGAATGTTGCTATGAGAATATCTGATGCATTTATTTCAACAAAGATCATATTCAGTCCAAACAACCTCAGTGAACTTCTGAGTTTACTATTCAGCTGCAGCCCTTTCACATAGAATCCTAGGATTTGTAGTTTGTTGTTGTGTGCCTTCAAGTCATTTCTGACTTATGGTGACTCTATGGCAAACTTATCACAGGGTTTTCTTGGCAGAATGTGTCCTTGCTTTCTTCTTAGGCTGAGAGAATGTGACCTGCCCAGTCAGTTTCTATGGCAGAGTGGGGATTTGAACTCTGGTCTTCAGGATCATAGTCTAACGCTTGACAACTGCACCATGCTTGCTCTCCTTTATAGTTTAAGAAGGGGATTTAGGATTCTCAGCCAGAGAGCTCTAATGCTTCTTACACAAGCTACAAGCCCCAGGGTTGCACAGAATGCAACCATGGCAGTTAAAGTGGAACCCTAGTGCTATAATTGTGTAGTGCAAAAAGGATCTCAGGTCTAATAATAATAATAATAATAATAATAATACAATTTATTTATATCCCGCCCTTTGGGGACCCAATCAGGGCGGCTTACAACAATAAAACCATACAATATATCTCAAAACATAACCCCCCCTTAAAACAGTATTAAATCAATGAAAAATTAAAAAGGTCTAAAAGTTTAATACAGGTTGAATCTCCCTCATCCAAAAGGCTTGGGACCAGATGTGCTTGGATTTTTCAATTTTTTAATTTTTTATTCTAGAATATTTACCTATACCTAATGAGATATCTTGGAGATGGGACCAAAGTCTAAACATGAAATTCATTTATATTTTGTATATGCCTCATTCACACATCCCAAAGGTAATTTTGTACATCATATTTTAAAATATTTTTTGTTTATAAAATAAAGCTGGTGTAAACTGAACCATCAGAAAGCAAAGGTGCCATTATCTCAGCCATTCATGTGGATAATTTTGGATTTTGGAGTATTTCAGCATTCTGCATAAGGGATACTCAACCTGTACAGTATACAAAGGGATTCTGTAGCATCTTTGAAAGAAAGAACCTGGTAGCATGAGCTTTCATAGACGTGAGCCTATTCCTTAGGATGGAGATACCACATGCATCTGAAGAGGTAGACTGAAGTCTACGAAAGTTCATCATACCAGCTTCTTTCTTTCAGTTAGTCTCAAAGATGCTACAAGATCCCTTTGCATACTAATTTTCCAGAATAACATGACTATGTCTTTGAACTATACAGTATAGCGTCTTTTAGGGCCTCACATTCAATTCCTGGAAATCTGCCGGGATTGTATTGGAAGTGTAATTGTCTCAGAAAAGGGGGGAAACCAGGCATTCAGAGACTGTGGGAAACAAGGTGGGGAGAAGTAACAGGACGAGAAAGGGATACCCTCTCTTGGATGCATTTCAGGCCAGTCAACCATGGGGATGAGAGATGCTTTTCATTTCTTCCAAAATGCCAGAGCACTGCCCTGAAACTCATGCACTTTCACTGCCACAAAAATCAATCCAACGCCTGGCATCTGTGAACCACCTTTTGTTTCACCTGGAGCAAATCCTCTAATAGATTTTTTAAAAAGTTGTCTAAGCAATCTCCACCTCTCTCTTTTCTGATGCTTGTGACCATGGATGTGGAAAAGGATTTCAGGTTTTTGGGCACCTTTTTGAACCAACCCTCTGTTCTTTGGCAGTAAGCTGGGGGAAGAAAAAGGTAAGGCACCCCCCACCACCACAATCCCCCTGCTTTTGTGTCTTCAGCTGCATCTGCATTGCAGAAATAATCTGGTTTGACACCACTTTAACTGCCATGGCTTAATGCTATGGAATCCTGGGAACTGTGGTTTGTTGTGGCCCCTTCTGGTTTATTATTTCTGCAGTGTGGATGCAGCCTTTGGTGTGCATTTCAGTAGAAGAACAAACTACAGTTCCCAGGATTCCAAAGCACTGAGGCATGGCAGTTAAAGTGGTGTCAAACCAGATTATTTCTGAAGTGCGGATGCAGCCTTCATCAGGATTTCAGTAGAACAACAAGGTCCCTGTTCCTTTCAAACTCGCCTGCAGAAACTCAGCCTTGTTCTGTTCCTCATTCAAAAAAATAACTTGACCCAAGGAGGCTGGTCTCCTGGGAGACCAGAAAGACTATATAAACAGAGGGCACCATTTCTCTGTTTTTCCTTCTGCTTCATGGCAACCTTCGTCCTGCCCTGGAAGGGAAGCAGGCAATCCGGCATGAGCCTTTTCTTCAACATCATGGCCAGCAAACAATGCGACTCCAATTTAAGCGGCACACTGGGAGAAGGGATGCATCTACACTGCAGAAAAAAATGCAGTTTGACACCACTTTAAGTGCTGTACCTCCATCCTGTGAAACTCTGGCTTTTGTCATTTTACAAGGGTTTTACCTTTCTCTTCCAAAGTGTGCAGGGGCCTCTTGTTTGTTGCTGTGCCTTCAAGTCATTTATGACTTATGGCAACCCTAAGGTGATCCCATCATGGAGTTTTCTTGGCAAGACTGGTTCAGAGGAGGTTTGACCTTGCCTTCCCCTGCGGCTGAGAGCGTGTGACTTGTCCAAGGTCACCCAGTGGGTTTCATGGCCAGACAGGGAATTGAACCCTTGTTTCCAGAGCCAGAGTCCAACACTCACACCACTACGCCACCTTGGGTCGCACTAAACGACCAATCCCAGGATTCCGTTGAATGGAGCCCTGGCACTTCAAGTGGTGCCAAACTGCATTATTTCTACAGTGTAGCTGCCCCCAAGAGAGGAAATCTCAGCTACCTCCATCCCTTCCCTAAACTCTGGGCAAGAGATGGAACCCAGAGATGGAACTTGCTAAAGAGGCAAGTATAAATACTCTAAAGCAGTAGTGTCCAAACTTTTGGTCCTCCAAATGTTTTTGAACCTCAGCTCCCAGAATCCTCAACCATCTTGTCCAATGGCCTGGGAGTCTTTGGAAGCCAAAGTCCATCAACACCTGGAAGGCTAATTCAAACAAACATCCATCAGTAATAGATACCTTTATTGGCCAACCAAAATGCACAATGTACGTTGCAAGCTTTTGAGGCTCCATGGGCTTCTTCATCAGGCAAGATGTTACAAACCAAACAGGAGGAAAACCATTGGAGATGTTAGTTAGTCAGATGCCTATATGTTGTTTCAGTCTGTGGCTTCACTGGAATGGAGACATACTGGATTGCATACGAGGGATCCCTGTTGATGCAAATGGATTTTAAATTTCCTGGACTTTGCAAATCTCCCTATAGCCATAGATCCAGGAGGAGGAGGGTCTTGCCTACAAAAGATACCCTCCCCACCATATACCATCTTAACTAAAGACTGAAACAACATGTAGGCATCTGACTAACATCTCCAATTGTTTTCCTCCTGTTTGGTTTGTAACCCTTGCCTGATGAAGAAGCCCATGGAGCTTCGAAAGCTTGCAACAAGTATATATTGTGCATTTTGGCTGGCCAAGAAAGGGATCACTGATGAATTTTTGTTTGCATTTTGCTAAATGGCCAACGCAGCTACCACTGAATGTTACCTGGAAGGCTAGAGTTTGGGAATCTAAGGGCCTTTGCAGACTGCCAGAAATAGTGCAAATTGAG